GCGACGACAAGAGCGACGACGAGAACGACAACCGGCGCGAGAGAGCCGTCGAAGTGCGCTATTTGGGCTCTTTTACCGAGAAATTGTTTCGCTCGCGCTCTCAGCCTATGATTGCCTTCAAAAACAAACTGCGATTTCGAAGCGACGCGAAGGCGACGGACGACGACACGGAAGACGACGACTCGACGCTTCCGTTCGCGGACTTCGGACTCAACGACGACGCCTTCGGACAACACTTCTCGCCGGTGCGCGCTCTCAAGGCGCCAATCATTGACTTCAACGACATTTAAATAAATAGAGATTTTATAATAAAAAACTTATTTTGAGTTTTGTTTCAATAATTGGTTTTCCTTTTCCTTTTTCAACGCTTTGTTCTCGTTTTCCAAACTCCGCACACGACTGTCCAGCGCCTGTACGCGGCGCTCCAGTTCCTCCATGTACTCCTTCTTCTTGCGGCGCGACTCTTGCGCCGAAATCTTGTTTTTGATTTTGCGCCGAATCTTCTTCAGCGACCGTTCCTCCGATTTGGTTAAAGGGAAGCGCTGAGGAATGGGATAGCCTTCCGCCACGAGAGTGCGCTTCTCCTCTTCCGTGAGAACGACGGCCGACCCGTGAATGGCGTTCTTCGGCTGAATGGAAATCAAGTGATTGGGCGCCGACTGGTGTTGTCCTGCGACCGCCGTTTTGGCGCCAGATTTGCGCCGAATCTCGGAAATCCTGCAACAGATGGCGTCACAAATGTTTGCCAACTTTTCTCTCACGTGACTCACCGAAAGGACACGTTCTCGGAGTCGGAACCCGAATGGTTGGAAGAGGGAGGAGTCGGCGGAAGACACGGGTTGTTGAGGAGCGCCGCCAGCGTCGATGTGGTCGTCGTCGTCGTGGCGGCGGAGGGCGGGGGCGGCGGTCGCGCGCCGACGGCGGCGGCGGTTGTCGTGACGACGGCCTCATTGTTGTCATTGACTTGAAGGTCAATGTCTTTGTCGGCTGAAAGAGAGCAGAGTTTTGGGTCATTTGAGGTCAACGTTGAGGTCAATGAATGTTTGGAATGTTTCGCAAGAAAACCGGTTTTTAAAGCATTCAATACC